TGCTGCTGCTGCTGTTGCTGTTGTTGCTGCTTCTGCTGCTGCTGCTGCTACTGCCGCTGCTGCAGTCCAAAACAGCAGCACTTTACGTCTCCGTGCAGCTGTTGCGCTTACTGCTGTTGGTGCTGCTGCAGATTGACGCTGCAGCCATGCATGCCACTTTTGCTGCTTCTTCTTCTGCTGCTGCTGCTGCTGCTGCTGCTGCTGCTGCTTGTTCCGTTTCTCTATGCTTCCGTGGCTGTGCTGCCTGCCCCCGATCCATCGCCTCTTTTGTCTCTTTTTTGTTCTTTTTTGTTTTTCTCATTTTGCTTCTTTTTGTTTCCTTTTAATTCTTTTTTGTTTCTTTTTATTTTTTTTTTATCTCTTTTTTATGTTTTTTTTGTTTTCTCTTTTTCTTTTTTTGTTTCCTTTTTTTTGTCTGCTGCATTTGTCTTTTTGCTGCATAATTTGTCTCATTTTGTTTCCTTTTTGCTGCTGCATTTGTCTCCTATTTTAATTTTTTTGCTGCAGCATTTGTCTAATTTTATTTTTTTTTGCTGCAGCATTTATCTCCTTTTCTCCTTTTTGCTTCCTTTCTTTTCCTTTTTGCTGCTTCCCCTGCTGCTCTTTTGTTTCCTTGAATTTCATTTGCTGCTGCTTCTCAATTCTTTGTGTCTTTTGTTTAATTCATCATTTTGAATTCATTTTTGAGGCCTTTCGTCTCCCTTTGCTGCTGCTGCTGCTGCTGCTGCTGCTGCGCAGGTGCTGCTGAGCCCCCGCCTGGCGTTCCTGGGCTCTTTTGCTACTGCTGTTGTGAAAAAATTTTTTTCTTTGTGGGACACAAATCGGCTGCTGCCTTTAGAGCTGCTTTTCAGCAAACAGAGGGGCCCCCCGCTGCAGGTTTGCTGCAGGGCATTGCCTGTGGCAGCAGGAGCGGACGCAGCAGACGGGGCCCCCCCAGCAGCAGCAGCAGCAGCAGAAGCAGCAGCAGCAGCAGCAGAGGAGGACGCAGCCATCACGCAGCAGGACTTCTGGTGTGCGGCTTCGCAGCCCGCGCTGCGGTCTCTCTGCAGCAACTACAGGCG